TTTTTTTTTTTAAATACCTGTTTTATTTCTCCAGTTTCGGTCTCTCTTGTGGCATAACCTCTTGACTAAGATCTTTTGTTGTGGTATTTCACTTTGATGCTCCATTTTTGGTTTGCCAGTTTCCTGCACTCATGCTCCCAGTGGAACAGATTAATAAGAGACTTATGGCTTTCTTTGATCCCTTTAACCCAACAGGAGGTCAGAGGTCAAAGGTAATCACTAATTTAGCTTGTCACTCATTTTCAGTGTCACAGCTTTGAGGCCAAAGTCATGAATGTTTAGTTGGATGTGTGTATGTATGCATATTTTTGGGTTAGATGACCAGTTGAGAGACTTGACCAACTGAGATATGTATATGTGTGTACCTTGTCCAATATTGCTTGTTAAATGAATGATACCTCAAATCATTATTATTATTATTATTATTAGGGATTTTTTTGGCAATTTAATTATACAGGCATCATGGCTCAAGATCTGTTGAGATATGGGGTTTTATGTGTTACTTTTATGTTTGCTTGACCCTCTGGGGGATGTGTGTGTGATCGTCAGAGTTTATAATGCATTTATGTTTGTGTCTGTCTCTGTTGCTCTCCTCAGTCTGCAGGGGCATTATATATGTTTAAAAGTGGTGTTGGTGTGTTTAGAAATAGCCTCGTTCTTCCCATGGGTTTCATTTGGCAGAGGTGGGCACAAGCCTGTAATTGATTTCCTCTGCACTAAAATTAGGTTTGAGTTGGACGGAGAACTCCTCTAGGTAAATGTCAGAATTACTCAGACAGGCTGTGAAGCATTCAACATCTCCAGACGTGCCTTTGAACTCACTCTCCCTGTGAGTGTAATGTAAGAAATGTGAGATCTATGTAGGTTCTTTATTTGTTTATTGGCAAAAGTGTGGACATGCATGAGACATTTCCAACTATCCTTAAAACAAACACTTTGGAAATGTTGTTTGTACAAGACGTTTACAAAGAACCTGAACTGCTAAATTTCTCACCTCTTCTTCATCATTTCAGGGACAAAGACCAAAGAGTAGGTTGAGTGCATTTTGTCCGTTCTATCATCTTGGTTATTTTCTGCCATAAGGTTTATTATTAATGGCTCTTGAGAAGGCAGGGATTTGAATTAAAGGCTAAGTTGTTACATCACACCCAGGTGAGCCATTCGGACACTTTCAGACCTAAAATTGTCATTGTTTTACTGATTCATTGATATTGAAATACAGTACAATGCTGTTCAAAAGTTTAGGGTCAGTAAGATTATTAAAAATAGAAATTAATCATTTTAATTGAGCAAGAATGCATTAAAAGTGACTGTAAAGAAATTTGTTAGAAGAGATTTCTATTTCAAATAAACACTTTTCTTTTGAACTTTGTTAATCAAACTAAGAAATATTTTTTGAGCATGAAATCAGCATATCTGGCTGCTTGAAAATTCAGCTTTGCCATCACAGGAATGACATTTTTGAAATATATTTAAATAGAATACAGTTATTTTAAATTATAATGATCTTTCACAATATTACTGTTTTTGATCAAATAAATGCAGCCTTTGTGTGCAAAGCAGACATGAAAAACATGAATTTTTTTTACTAACCCCCATCTTTTGAACAGTATTGTAGGTTCCTGTTTTTCTTTCCTTCCAAGCCTCTTGCCTCACTTTTTGATGAGCAAGACTTTGCAAAGATGTTTACACATGCATACTGACGTACATGCATGGATTGAGGTAAGCTCATAGAACAGTCGCCTTGCATCCTTGTATTAAAAAAAACTACTTAAGATGATGAGCCTATGAACACATCTGTCATCTTAGAAATAATTGAAGCAATGAGTTGTCTTCTCATTTATTTTCTTTATGTAGCTTACAGTGCATGCCTTTTCCATGTCTCAAGCTTTTAAAAAAAATCCCTGTCAGCAAATTACAACAGCACTGACGCATTGAACTGAGAAGCATCTCTTTCAGACATGTCAGATTCATAATGATCTCATAGTAAGATAATTGGAGTGTGCCAAGGATTCCACTGATGGGTTGAAAAGTAATGTAGTTTAATATCCAATAGCAGAAATATATTTATGACTCGATTGTATGATAGATTTATCAATGGCCGCGTGAGACAAAGTCGGTTTAAATAAATAGAATTCTTTTAAAACTTTTTCAGCCTAGAAATGTGAATGCAAATTATATTTAAGCTCTAAAAAGTTTTTACAAGCTGAATCATAGGTTTTGGTTAAGACAGCTGCTGAGAATACCATCCATAAAACAATCTGTTTGATCTATTCAGATTGATCTGTTTCCCCGCAGCAGCTGTCAGTTGTTTAGTACAACAAATATAAATGTGTTTGTAGTTAAGTTAATATCTATTTATACACGTGCAAAATATTGTGTCCCATTTGGATGTCACAATGACAATAAACAAGAGGAACAAGCATGTGATTATGTGACATTCAGCTGTTAAGGCATTTTTCCCTTTTTGGTGTGCATGATGGTTTACTGAAAACTCCATAATTATACGTCATTGTGCAGAGGTCTATATCACGCCTGCTCTCTTCCTTACTGCCT